AAAAAAAAAAACGCACACACACACACACAAGAAGGACGCACAACCTAAGACAAACAAAACCCAACAAAGCACACAAAACAACGTGCCTCATCCCCAAACCCTGAAGGTAAAGCCCAAACCGCTCGTCCGAGGCGCAGATTCCAGGAGGCGGACGACAGCAACCTACCAGGGCTAGGCTTTCTAGAGCTGTTTGGGTGGACGACAGAAACCTACCAGGGCCAGGCTTTCTAGAGCTCTCCGATACAGGTGTTATGAAATTTCCGTCTGCCCGTAATCAGTGACATACCTCAGTTTTTATGACGTCTTATTGTGGTCCAAGGGGTATTGGGTTTTACAGTCTTTGCAGACACTGCGCCACGCTGAGATGCGTGACTTTGAAAAACTATTCAATAGACCACGACCCTTAGTGACCATACACATGGGTAATTCTCTAAATAAGGGTCCCGTTTAAGGTGCCAAAAAGGGTACGGCACCCTTATACCCTAAACCCTAAAAAGGGACCCTAAAGTAGACAACTACCCCGGTGAAAAGGATGCCATCAAGAACTGAACCCGAAGCCATACGGATGCATGGCTGGTCATCGAAAGCCCAGGGGGAAGTCACCGGCGGCTCCCGGAGCAATATCAGTTAGGGGTTTACCTCTAGTCTCCATTGTAGTTCCTTTTTGGGGCTACCTTTTGGGATCCTTTATATGGAATTGGTCAAACCAAAACAAGGAACTACAATGGAGACTATAGGTAGGGTTCGGGATCCGGGTTTTGGGGTTAGGGAAACCCTCAACCCTAAACCCTACCCCCTAAACCATAGCCCGATGAACCTATAGGCTTAAGGCAAAAGGCTTCAGGGCTGAACCTAATCCCTACTTGGGATCTGTTGAGCCCCCAAAGACTCAACCCTCACAGCCCTGCCCTAAACCTCAAAACCCGAAGCCCTAAACCCTAAAGCCAAACAGCCCGAAACTCTGAAGGCCCCAAAGGACAGCCCTAAGCCCGAAACCCCCAAATCCTGCACCCTCAGGGCCTTAAATTTGTCTAAGACCCGAGGCTCAAATCTCACAAAACACGCCCGTAGACCCCCGAAACTGTTATGGAACCCTCAAAAAAGCCCCCTTCTAGGAGCTCTTCAAAGAACCCTCCTTTAAGAACCTTCAGGGAACCATTCTAGGAGCTCTTCAAAGAACCCTCCTTTAAGAACCCAGGAGCATACTGACTGAGCCAGGGCACCGAGAGGTGCGGGCTTGGGGCGGATCGGAAGTGGCCCAAGAAACGAACCTTGGAGAAACCACGGATCCAGTTGACCAGGGAGCGAAAACATCTACGGGCCTTGAGAATTGGAAATAGGGCTCCCTAGAATCCTTTTAAAGGTACGGAAAGATGGGACTAAGAAGTTAGCAAAGTTTTTTTTTTTTTGGGGGGGGGGGCACATTCTACTTTTCTTGCCATAACGAGGAACCCAATCAGGCTTTTTGTTGGTGAAGGTTCAAGTTTCTGTCTTGCGGATCTTCCGCAAAAAGCTTCGATTGAATGGTTTAGGGCCATTTTTATACATAGAAGTTAAGGGCTCAGGGGTTTTGGGATTCATGGGCTGGGTCTGATGTGGGGGTTTCCGCAAAGAGGGGACCCTAATATAGTGCCCTTAATACTAGGCTCCTTATTATAAGGACCCTCAAAATAAGGTACCCCAATTTTCGGAAAGTCCCATGTAGATCCTTGTGTTGAATGAAGCTTCAAGCAGTGTCTCGACGATGGGCATGGTCTTTGCTGCCTCATCCGGGCTTTACGTGGCCGAAGATCGATGCCTAGGTCCCACAAACGGCCAGAAGACGGGCTTGTGATTCGATGTATTCTGCTACACGCATAGATGAGGGATGAGTCCGATGCGATGGGGCCAGAACACTGAGTGCCTTTGATGCTCCTCTGCCAGTGTTTCAGCCAATTTTATACAGCCTTGTCCTTGAATCCTCAGGTTTCGGCTTCAAAAAAAGGGGCCTTGATTGCTAGAACAGGGCTTGGGCGGTACATGCTACTAACTACTCATACAGACCAATTACTCAGACCTCTGTTGTAAGCCTCAAGGTTCTTATTAGCTGTATGACACGGCAACGGGGACGATAGCAGATCCCATGCCCTGAAACCTTAATCCTCAACCTTCAGCCTCTCCTAAACTCCTATAGCTCCCCCTTTGTGGAAACGTTTTTACAGCAACCTAAGCACGGAACCCTAAGCCCTAAACCGCAACAGGAATCTCTTAAGCCAACACTCCGAGGCTGTTTTTGGGCTCCCCACCCACATGCCGGCGGTGAGGCCGCTAACGATTTTCTCCTGTTCTGGCATCTTCGAACCCTCTTAGGCTCTTCTAGGGATGTAGGGTTTTGTAGGGTTCCTTTCAAGGGAGCCCCAAAAAGCTTTTATAGTACTTTTTAGGGGTTCTAGGGCGAACGGTCTAGGGTTTTGTAGGATTTGGGCTGCTGGTTTGGGGTTGAGGGTTTGGCAGATGGGGGTCGCTCATGAAAGGTCACAATTCAACACGATGCGTCTTTGGCTTCCTCAGAGCCCCTAGCACAGGTACCCACACCCAAACTCCACAGACTATATAATTCGTCAAGTCACGTCGGCAACAAGCTTCCGCACCTGAACTAGAAGCCTTTTTGACCTTAACACTCAACCAACACAGAAACGTTATGAAACCTTCAAACGTCTCTGATAACCTTGCAAGCCCGGCAGGGCCGTAAAAAGCCTAGAATCTGATCCAAAGAAGTACCGAAACGAAGGAAGCGGCTGAAGTCTTATCCAGTATGCTAGAAAGCACTTCCGGTAGTCTTCCTGCGTATAGGGGGGAGGGTGGGGCGTCTGTCGGTTGGTCTTTCCGGTTAAGCCCTAAACCCTTAACCCTAAAAAACCCTAAGCCCTAGACCCTAAACCCTAAAAGCCCTAAGCCCTAAAAACCCTAAGCCCCGAGAAGTTCCCGCATTGAAGACCGACCCAAAGTATTCACACAGAGTCTCTCGGGCATAAAACGCAATCCTAAACACCCTAAACCCTAGACCCTAAGCCCTAAAAACCCTAAAAGCTCTAAAAGCCCTAAACCCTAAGAACCCTAAAAACCCTAAACCTTGTAACTGTACTTCTACCAGCATCCTCCGCAACTCGTTACGCAACCCTGAACCCGAAACACTCAGCACATTCTCCACAAAATCCTAAACCCAAAAAACCCTAAAATCCCTAAGCCCTAAACCTTGAAAACCAACCCTACTGCACCTGCTCCCCCTCTGCTGCGTAGATCTTTGCACGGATGCGGCCGGTTCCGTCGCAAACGGTGAACCTCGGATGTAGGCTCTCAGGTCGCAGCCTTAAGGCTTTTAGGGTTTAGGGTTCTTTTAGGGTTTAGGGTTTAGGGCTTAGGGTTTTTAGATGGTTCGGGCTTAGGGTTTAGGGCTTTTAGGGTTTAGGGGCTTAGGGTTAGGGTTTTTAGGATGGTTATAGGGCTTAGGGTTTAGGGTGTAGCCTGTGTCACAAGTTTCGTTTTTGGACGCTGGGTCTCCGGAAATCTGGTGCGCCATCAACTGGTTTTTGATGATTCCTGTATCTGAACTGTTTTCGCTCGTCCTCTCCCTTGAACAACGCGGAGCAGAAATCCTTTAAAAGCTAAGCCCATTTGTCCTTGGGTGCTTGCTCTTCTTTTGCTTGCCGGCGTGAGGAGAGGGTTCGGCTGCAAGTGCTGGAATACTTAGCTTCGCAGTGGCTGTAGGTCGTGGACCACAGCGCTATGGAGTAGATGGTCCGGAAGAAATGAAACCTGCATTCAACAGTTTTCGGAACCTGCTGACTCTCAATACAATCACCAGATTCATTAATAGGATTCCAATAATTCCAAAGACCCTAAGCCCTAATTAAGGGCCAAGACCTACACAAACAATCAGACTTATAACGCCTGCGTAAGCATAATCCTATGTTAGGCCTCTGATATTCATTGCGAACACCGACCCATCGAAGGAATCACGACGCTGCTTGAACAAAGAACCGCTCTCTCAGGCCATAACAACACTTGTTTACTCCAGAGACCCATAAACCCTAACCCCCAAATCCCTGAACCCTCAACTCCAGGAATCTCGACCTCGGCTTAATTAGACCCCAGACGACCTTTAACCCGGATTGAGGATCCTTATGTTGCTTTGCGGCCTTCCGAGAGCCTTTGATTTTCCTGATATTTTTTGGCTTTTGGTTAAAAGAGCCTTTGATTTTCCTGATGTTTGTTGGCGTTGTTTTTTCAGATTTGGTTCAAGGACCTTCAGAGATCGGGCTTGCGGTTTCCGGGTCGAGGTTTGAGGTTGCTCAAGGTTAGGTTTGTAGGGTTAGGGTTCAAGGTTGCAGGTCGTTCAGGGTAGGGTTCACTTAGTGTTTGGCTGCGCAAGTACTCAACACCCTAAACGCAAACTACTCAACACACGAGGCAAGCCCAAAACAGAATCTCGTGATACCACTACCACTGCCGGACACGTCGTTGCTCGTTGTGTATCGAAGGTTCCTTCCAACTTCGGCTCGAGACTCACAACACCAGAACGCAAAAGAACAGACAGGCGTCGCTGCTTGGGGATGTGCTTGGAGATTGTGTCTATTCGTGACCCACCAGCCCATGATTCTTCCCACTAAAGCCCTAAAGCCTAAAACCCCAAACAAACCAGGCGTCGCAGTCAGGCATGCTTTCCGATCTCGGGCTCTGTGTCTGCGGTGGAGCCAACAGGCGCGATTTAGAGATGCTCCATACGCCCTACACGCCCAAAATGCTGGTATCAGTATGACATGACGCCTCAAGCATTGACCTCATGCTTGAACCCTCTGAGCCTTGGACTATACACCTGCCTGGCACCTTTTGGGCCCTATAATAAACCTTACAGCGATAGAAAGAAGCCGACTGGTCCGGCTTGGCACCTCGGGCTTGGCTCTTCATACAGCTCAATGCAAGGAGCCGTGCCCTTGCAGCGGAACACGCTGCGAGCCTGAGTCAAACAAGAGCTCAGAACCAAGATTTGTCGTGTGGTCCACGTCCGCCACGACCTTCGGAAGACGACTGCCTGCTGGACCCAGCCCGCTTCCGCAAGCAGACGGGCAATCTCTGCATGTCCTTCAAAGGCCGCGTGCACCAAAGCAGACTTACCATCTACATCCCGCGCATCCTTGTCAGCGCCAGCTTCCACAGGCAGACGGGCAATCTCGGCAAGTCGGCGCCCGCTTTCAACAGAAGTCGGACAATGTCGGCGTGGCCTTCAAAGCCTGCGTGCATAAGAGCTGTCTTGTGCATATCATCGGCCAAGTTCTTGTCAGCCCCAGCGTCCACCAGCAAACGGGCAATGTTGATGTTGCCATTCGCACTCGCCACTGTGAGGGCTGTCCTTTTTCCACGCACATCCATGTTAGCACCAGCCTTCACCAGTACATCTACAAGTTCGATTTCGCCTATGGAGGCTGCATGTATCAGAGCTGTCTTACCATCTGCATCCTGGAGGTCCATGTCAGCACCCGCGTCCACCAGCAGGCGAGCAATCTCTGCATGTCCTTTGCAGACAGCGTGTACCAAAGCAGACTTACCATCTACACCGCACACGCCCTGGTCAGCGCCCGCTTGCAGCAGAAGTCGGACAATGTCGGCATGGCCTTCAAAGGCTGCGTGCATAAGAGCTGTCTTGTGCATACCATCGGCCAAGTTCTTGTCAGCCCCAGCGTCCACCAGCAAGAGAAACGAGGCTGGGCCTGAAGAAATTCGATGCAACAGCTGTGGGAAAAAAGCTTTGCCCACAGATGTTGCATCGAATTTCTTCAGGCCCAGCCTCGTTTCTCTTGGCCATTTTCTGGGCCTTGTCCCAGACGGGCAATGTTGATGTGGCAATGTTGATGTCGTTATTTGCACTCACCACTGTGAGGGCTGTCCATTTTCCACGCACATCCATGTTAGCACCAGCCTTCACCAGTACATCTACAATTTCGATTGCGCCTATGGAGGCTGCATGTATCAGAGCGAGGTCAATGTCAGCGCGCGCTTCCACCAGCAGGCGAGCAATCTCTGTGTACCCTTTGGAGGCCGCGTGTACCAATGCAGACTTGCCATCTACATCCCGCACGTTCTTGGCAGCACCTGCTTCCACAAGCAGACGGGCAATCTCTGCATGTCCTCTGGAGGCCGCGTGTACCAAAGCAGACTTGCCATCTACATCCCGCACGTGCTTGTCAGCACCGCTTCCAGCAGAAGTCGGAAAATGCCAGTGTGGCCTTCAGAAGCTGCACATGTCAAGGCAGTCCTGCGGTATTCATCCCGCGTGTCTTTGGAAGCTCCAGCATCGATCAGCAAGCGAACCAGCTCAATGCGGCCACGAGTGGTTGCCCGAGCGAGTGCTGTCCTGCCACCTTCGTGACAGTCTGTTCCACTGTAGTGACGGTAGTGATCCTTGTCGACACCTGCTTGGAGCAGATGTCGCGCCGTCTCAACATAGCCTCGATCGGCAGCGAAACGTACAAGCTCTTCTCCAGCATTGTGTCTCTCACCACTGGATACGATGGAGCTAGAGAGTACCAGCTGTAGCTCACAGGGTGCAGTGACGTGGTCATCCTCCTCAAGGCAGACGCTGCCACACACAAGCCGTTGCAAACATACAGGAAAGCCGTGCTCCGTGCGCAGATGACGCTTCAGATATTCAGATCCCAAACACGGAATTTCTCACAAGGGACAGGAGCTAACTCTTCTCCAGAAGCCAACCAAATCCGCAGCATTGCGAACAACTCTGCTATATAGAGCCACTGGAGAAGGCAGCTTCGGCTATTCGGATCTGCGGGCATGCAAGAAACAGACGATAAGCACGGCTTATATTGGCTTGAAACTTACGCATTACATAAGGCCATTTGCTTCTAGGATAGATGCTCCGAAGTGGGAGCTGTTCGCAACTCAGAAGACTCAGCGCTGAAAGCGCTGGATGCCACAGCCCTGCATCGCAAAATGCTGAGCCCTAAGAGTTCGAAGGCCTGCATATCAACCGTAACGCCACAAATCACAATGCAGGCCGAAGCGCTCTGCCATGGAGCCCGAGTTTGCGTGCACGGTCTGCCGGCAGGCATGCAACTAAGTCACTACTGTAGCGACGAGGTACCTGGGGCCCCGTTATACGCACTTCTTGGCTCGCATAATAGAATCAGTGTAATTTGTATACTGCATATGGTACTTTCGAAGCTTTGGGGTAATTCAGCTTCCGACACTGCAGGTTTGAACAGCCATGTTAAAGGCTCGGTGTGCTTCTTGTGGTACCTTCTGGGCTTTTGCGCGATGACAAGGCCCCACCTAGCTGCATCAAGTACTGGAGGTCTACCCTACTTTACACAGCGAACAGAGGACTTGTGTTGTTGAACCATGCGCTGTAGAAGTTGGACCGTCTTAGCATGTGTATTCTTTTTCGTAACTACCTTTCTCAAGAACCCGGTTTCTCGCAGGCCTCGTCACCTGGTCTCTGTTACAAAGCCTTGTCACACGAACAGGGGGATGGTGAAACAGCCTATATTCAAAGTGCCTTTGTTGGGTTCACGCCTAAACCCTCAACCCTCAATCCTAGACCTTAGACCCTAAACCCTTAACCCTAAACTCGAAAACCCTCAACCCTGAACCCTGCTAAGGGCGGCTTCCGACCGGAGCTGAGGTAATAGAAGTTTAGTCCTCAAATCTGCCAGCCGCCGCCCGACCTCAATCTGCACCAGGACCGTCAGCATCCCCGGCGATGCCTCACTGCCTGCAGCCGCAGCATGAGGCCCGGGATTCGAGCATCGGCATGTCGACTGAAGGTCTAGGGTTTAGGGTTTCAGGATTCGGGGTTTGACCTCATAGGAACTCTCGTCAAGGTATATGTATTTTGAACATATGTTCAGGGTATTGAAGGTACTGAGGCTTGCACATCGTTTTCGCGAAAGGTTGTCGCAAACTGAAATCCCAAGGGGTTTCATGAGGCTTTAGGATTTGTGCCCCACTTAGATCCCAAAGAACCTACCTTGTTAAGGACTTTTATAAGGAAATCATAGTAAGGAGCCCCAAAAATGGAGGTTCTTCAGGGTCCAGGTAGACCCCGAACCCTAAACCCTAAACCTCTAAACCCTAAGCCCTAATTCCGTTTTCGCAAAACCCCAAACTCCCAAGCCAAGAGCCTGGACCGACGAGCCTGCAGAGCTTTGGCTTACGGTTTAGGGGTTTTAGGGGTTTAGGGGTCTATGGGTGTAGGGGTTTAGGGGTCTATGGGCCTATGGGTTTAGGGGTTTAAGGGTTAGAGGTTTAGGGTTTAGGGGTTTAGGGTCCCATGGGTACGACTTGGGGTGCACCAACTGTTCGAGTGCGACATGCAAGGGATTTCAGGCATCAGTATCTACAATATACAACACCAAAAAAGCTGGTATAGAACCCTCAAAATGAAGCCCTTCGAGAACCCTCTAAAGGCAACGGTCAGGCAAGCATCAAACGAAGCTTGCAAATATGCTGGCAGCTGTAGATCAAACTTCAAGCAGGGCTTGCCCTCATAAGGGCCCTACGGCTCTTCAATACTGTAGGATCGAGGATGGTGCCCTACTGGATCTGTCTTGTCTTTACTAGATGACCCTTCTTGCTGGACAACCCTGCGGCAACCCGGACCCCCAGATTCCCCCTAAACCCTAAACCTTAAATCCTAAACCCTAAACCCGGGATTTCTGAAAGCCTTCCGGCTCTCCCCCCCGAATGATCAGAAACCTTCGTCTAACTTTCGGCTCTGAAACCTCCGCCCTGGATTTCCCAGCCTCGCCCTGCATATATCCTAAACCTCCAACTAAGCGGTTTAGGGTTTAGGGTT